CTATTATCTTAACAACTGAGTAGATATTGGAATGGTTTAAAAAATAAGTTTTAAAGTTAATCAAATGTACTGTAATTGTTCAATTTTATTTTATATAAAATAAGACAAAGTTTGAATCTTGATTGTTCTAAATTAAATATGCATATCCTTCAATTTATGTGATGTTTTAATAATGCTTGATATTGTTGTCAAACCAATTCAAACTCTGATTGAGATAAGTTTAATAAAATTTTCTCTCATACAAAGAAAAAAATGGACATTGAAATGTACAAACCTTTCAAATTGATATTTTCAATGTTCAAATTCGTTGGAATATGGCAAGATGGGAATCAATCATGGATTTACTTCATTTTGGGATATCTTGTACACATTTTGAGTAACGATATTTTCATTTCTTGTGAGATTTTGTATTTGGTGAATAGTGTTGATTTGATGGATTTCGTGCATGCGTTTGTAATTATGGTAACTTATTCTGCGTTAGCATGCAAGACTAAGAATTTCTTTTGGAAGATTAAGAAAATTAATGCCTCTGTGGAAACTTTGAACGATTTGTTGAATATCACTCAAAATTATGATTTATTTAGCCATGTACTTATAAGGAAGCAAGTAGCATTTTCTTATAAAATTTATTTAATGCTTTGGTCATCTGCCCTTGTCACGTGTACTGCTGGAGCATTTGTTCCTTTCATCAATCACAAGTTGCCGTATAAAGTTTGGTTTCCATTTGAAACTGATATAGAAAAGAATGAACTTGGCTTCTGGGTTGCATCATTTCTTGTTGTTTTCAATTCATTTTTCGGCAGTGCAATTGACATGGCATTAGACATTCTACCTGTAACTTTTATGGCGTTTGAGATTGGACTCTTGGATGAGTGTACTGGAGTGTTCACTTTGTCAATTGTAAGTGTTTAATATATTTATTGTGGACGAAATATGAATTAATATATGTAATAGTTTTATCATAATTATGCTTAGACTAAAAGTATCACCGATTTTATTAAAATGACAACGTTTATGGTGCTTGAAATATTCCTTCCTTGCTACATTGGAAGATTAAATCATGATCAGTTACCTATATCATAGTTAATATGAAACTATAATCAAATGCCATGGTTCAACTATTCTGAAGTATCTCAAGAATAGTGAACATTTCTAGACTGTAGAATGTTTAGATATTTATGTCTAATGTATCAATAAATATGTATATGCAATTAAATACAAATTGTTTCAATCTAATGTAAAAATTCAATAATTATTCAGTAGTTAAATTCCTTCAGTTGTGCGTGTTTAGTGGTTAATTTATTAAAAAATCAAGTTTATTATCTACGTTTGTATAATTATATTTATTTAATTGTCTTTGAAATTAAGTTTTTAATTTCGGTGAATGACGATCCTTATGGAAAATGATTTTTCCGAGTGTTCTTGTTGTGTTCTTCTTCTTCTTCCTGACATTTTTTAATTAATCTTTTTTTGTTAATCCACCTATTGATGTTTTAATATTTGATTTTAGACTACTTTTTTAACCATTCTAATAATTTGAAATACTGCTTAAATATGAATGCGAAGTAATTTTTTTGTCGTCTTTCAATTCTCTTTCGACTTTCAATCGGATAAGTTTTAAATTAAAATTGTCATCATAATGGATATTGAACTATTCAAACCTTTTAAATTAATTTTCAAAAAGTTCCAATGGTTTGGAATGTGGCAGGATGGTGAACAAACTTGGGCATATTTTATTTTTGGATATTTGTTGCATTTGTTATTGGTGAATCTTTTTATCTTGTGTCAATTGTTATATTTAATTAACTCTGTCGATCTGATGGATTTTATCGAAGCTTTTGTTCTTTTAACAACGTTCATTGCAATTTCGTGTAAAAGCATAAACTTTTTCTTGAAGTTAAAGAAGATTAAGAAAAGTTATGATGAACTTAAAGATTTACTGCAGTCAACAAATTACGAAGAATCTGTGGATCGGAAGACATTAAAGAAAGAAATTGCATTTTGCTATAAAGTTTACTTGGCATTTTGGTCATCAGCTCTTGTAACTTGTGCATCAGGTGCTTTCGTTCCTTTTCTCAGTTCGAAGTTACCATATAAAGTTTGGTTTCCGTTCGATGTTAATAAGGAAACAAATGAAATTGGCTTTTGGATTGCTTCTTTGTACCTTATTTTTCATTCTTTTATCGTCAGTACCCTTGATATAACTTTAGATATTTTCCCAGTTGTTTTCATGGCATTTTCCATTGGATTATTAAACGAATTTTCTCAGCGTTTATCAAAAATTGAATCAAACGGTGATCTTATTCAATGTATCATTGTTCATAAAAAAATCAAACACTTCGTGAATGGAATTCATGCAAATTTTGCAACTGCTATTTTCTTTCAAGGCGTCACGAGTTCCTTGACTTTATGTACTGGAGTACTAACGATGACATTTGTAAGTTAAATGGCTGAATAAATTTCTTATTACATAAATGTGATTTGAAAAATCTTCGTTACAGACTACAAACCTCACTCAGCTTATTCGCATTGTTACATTTATAGTTCCAATGGTGCTTGAAATATTTCTTCCTTGTTACTTTGGGAATGAGCTTTCGATCGCTTCGTCACATCTAACAACTTCAATATTTCAATCAAAATTGATTGAAGGAGATCAGAAGTTGAAGAAAACTGCAATAATCTTCACAGAATGTAATCGGAAAGAGTTAAAGATCACATCGCTTGGATTATTTGATGTTAATATTGGAACCTTTACAATTATAATACGATCAGCTTATTCATTTTTTAATGTCATGAAACAGATTAATTAATTTTATTTTTAGTTACATGAGAAGTTCCCATTGAGAATACAACTGTTGAACATTCAAAATATGTACTTACCTTGAGTTCATACTTTAAATGCTTGATAAATCAATTCTTTAATTGAAATAATTTCGTGTCTATTATCTTAACAACTGAGTAGATATTGGAATGGTTTAAAAAATAAGTTTCAAAGTTAATCAAATGTACTGTAATTGTTTAATTTTATTTTATATGAAATAAGACAAAGTTTGAATCTTGATTGTTCTAAATTAAATATGCATATCCTTCAATTTATGTGATGTTTTAATAAAGCTTGATATTGTTGTCAAACTAACTATTCATACTTTGAATGCTTGATAAATCAATTCTTTAATTGAAATAATTTCGTGTCTATTATCTTAACAACTGAGTAGATATTGGAATGGTTTAAAAAATAAGTTTTAAAGTTAATCAAATGTACTGTAATTGTTCAATTTTATTTTATATAAAATAAGACAAAGTTTGAATCTTGATTGTTCTAAATTAAATATGCATATCCTTCAATTTATGT